GGGGGGGGGGGGAGAGAGATGTTATTCTCCAAAGCACTTAAAAGGCTCCACCTCCCTCTTATGGCTGGAGATAATACTGCAGGTCCTCTGTGGAATCCCTGGAGGGAACAGATTGTGGGTCACAGTTTTCGCACACACACACCCCCCGGGTCAGCTGTTGTGCCAAAATAATTCTACGCCCACACTGTTCATAGTTCTTGAACCAAGTTGGGGGCAACCGCCACGGAGGGCTGAGATCTGAGGAGTCACACCTCCCTGGAAGGCATCAGGCCAGGGGACGTCCACCACTGGGTCCTGACCCAGCGTCCCGTTTCCAGAGAAGGGAGTTGCGAAGGAGGGAGACTCAGGCCCGGGGGCCCCTTTGGGGCAGCCACACCCTGGCTGCGAACATCTGGTGCTCGGGGCAAAGCGAGGTTGCCCCCTGGCCATCATTGGTCTTCAGACCAGGGCTGTAGAATATGCAGCTCTCTAGATCCAGCCATTCTCAGTGGGGCCCACAGGGTCCCCTTGAAAGGGGGCCACAGACTGGAAGCTGTTCCTTCACACACGCCGCTATCAGGTTCATTATGCAATTGATACGATCCTGATTTGGATTATATTTCTTTCATACTGCGTTCATAGCCATGACCCAAAAATAAATAAATAAATAAAAGGTTGAGAATGGCTGCTCGATTAGTCACTGGACAACAATTCCCATGGGGATGAGAGCTGGAGGCTGCTGTCCAGAAACATCTTGAGAGTCATCCCTGATTGAGATGGGCAGCAGAAACTGTCTTCTCCCGTCCATGGCTCAGGGTACAAAGTCACACCTCCATTTTAAGAAGATCCCAGTGTTTCATTTTAAGCTGCTTATTTTCTGTGTTTTTATTTGGTTTTGCAAACTGTTATATTTTACAACTTCTATGGTTTTTATGGTTAAAAAAAAAAGGCTTGAGTAGCCACTGAGTGGAGGAACAAATTCAGAAACACATCAAATAAATGTAAGCCCGAGTATACTTTGTGCTGCTAATCTCAATGAAGACAGACTGGACGATTCCAGACAAGTAGGGTGATGGGGGAAATGAAAGATTTAACAGCAGCCATCAACCTCCTTTGGCTTTCACCCACTTCCTCCTGCCTGCATTTCTGTCCTCCCTTTCTTCTGCTTCAGAGGATCAGAAAGGCATCGTTTTCCATCCCAGAATCAAGAGCACCCCAACCAGCCAGCCAGCCACCCCGAGGACCTTTCCAGCAGAACTGCGGTATTCGCACAGTCCATTCTTGCTTACCTGGGATAACAATATCCCCCAAGCCCAGCATGGCGAAGTGGTCAGCTTCCAAGCCCCTCTCGAGCAGATCTTGGGGGAAAACCACTGACAAAAAAGCAAGAGACGAAAAGACACTAGAGGAGAGCCATGTTAACCTTCAAAGTCAAGTCTTAATCAACTCCAATACAGATTCACACCTTGCCCTTCCCACTGTAGAAGGCAACTTTAACGAGAACATATTACATCATTATTAAAATGATTTCCAATTAGAACTAAAGGACAACATCTAACAATCAACAGTGTCAACAGACCAACTCACTGCTGCTCACTTAGGGCTACGCAGCTTGGCTAGAGAGAGTCAGTTCCGGCTAAATAGGGTCACTTAAGGTCAGGTGGAGATCCCATAGGCCATGTGTGATGTGATCTTTAGACCCACATGGCACAGCAACCTGGGGTTTGGTCCTCTGTACTTTTTAAAGAAGATTGAAAAATCGAAGGCTTCCTTTCAGATACTGAAGGAAGCAGGAAGCGACAAAGTGGGGGAATTTTTATTTATTTTCTTTACAATCCAGGAAGTGAGTTTGCGTTGTCAGAGAAAGAAAAGCTGTAAAGAAATGAAAATAAATCCCCCCTTTACTCGCTGCCACTTTTGGAAGGAAGCTTCAATATTCTTCTAGTTCCTCTAAAGCATATAAAAATCAGTGCTGCCCTAGCCAGCTTTTTTTTAATTGGTTCCTATTTCTGTGCCATGAGCAACAACAACAAAAAGCTTCAATATTCTTCTAGTTCCTCTAAATCATATAAAAATCAGTGCTGCCCTAGCTAGCTTTTTTAAAAAAACTGGCTCCTATTTCTGTGCCATGAGCAACAACATCAGCAACAAAAATCTCCTGGTTAACCCCACATCGTTAAGTGGTTAAACTGTCTGTTCACCACTAATGATATGGGGAAATTGAAACCAGCCAACAAACTGAAGCAGGAAACCTCAAGGTGCTGGCTCACCTTGATTTGTTTCTAGCAATTGCATGAAATGAACCAAAACAGGGTGATCCCACTTGCACCAAAAAAAAGAATATGCCTCTGATAGGAGCCAGAAAGGTACAGGTAGGAATGAGCTGAGGGTTTGTTGGTTTGCTCAAGCAAAGATGTCGAATTGCTGGCTTCGAGAGAGAAACAACAGCCTGTCCCTGCAGTTGACCAAACACCAGGCTAAAATGCCCACGGAGTCATCCCCTGAGAAGCTTCAGAGGAGTCTTTTATTTTCCATAAAGGCTAAGAGAGAGGAATGCAGACAAAGCTTTTGACCTTCTAAAGAATGCCCTGTCACTCCAGATGCTAATACTGCCATGATGCCATTTTAGCTTCCTCCAATAAAGGCAAAGCCAAGCAGTTGAAGGGTGAGATACTCCCAGCTATGAAAATTAAAACCAGCACCTTGAATTGGGTTCAGAAACTTGCCAATGAAGCAATGAAGTTGCTACGGACCTGGCTGAACAGAATATTACTGCCTCACTCTGGCCAGAAGACAAGGGGCAGTATTATTCTGCACCAGCTAAAGCAAAGACATTCATTGGGTTGCCGTTTTCACTGCCCTTCCCTGCCCGCCCCACGTCCAGAGGACTGCAGCTGGAGAAAGCAACTCACATTTGATGGGTGCCTCAAACGACTTTGCCACAGTCACCATCACATTGGTGCCAAAGACCTGGGGGAAAAGGAGGGCAACGTCAGAGGGGAAAGCTCCCGGAGGGGCACCCCTGCCGCTACGGCCAACTCTCAGGGAAACGGCGCGCTCTTGGGAAAATGGTAGGCTGCAACACCCACCCACCCCAACCCCCTTTGAGCTTCTATGTTTCTTAACTCATCTTTCAAAATGTTTCTCCCAATCTACTCGAAAGGGTTAGCGGTAACAGTAAAAATGGCACATTAAATATAATGAATGCACAGCAAATTCCTCGTTGGCCAACTTCAGCAACAGGAAGCTGAGCCCATCAGTAGCTCCTCCAGTCACCTATTCCTCTTCGCCTCCACCATTCTCTGGTCCTCAGTCCCCTCCTCCCTCTTGGCTATCTAGAAAGACCCAACCCCAGGCCATCAGAAGTGGGCTTTCATCAGAGCCGTGGCGGTATCGTCTTGCTCTTCCTTCTTAACTCGTATTCCTCGCAGCATGATCCGTCTCACAAAACCTTCGGCACCGGCCTTTTCACCCAGCCCCTTCCCAAACCTCCACTCTACGTTGCACCCATTTCCTCTGCCAAGCCAACCTTCCACACGCCAGATTTCCTTTACATTCGCCAACCGAAAACACGCAAGCGCCTGGAGGTGGGTTCTTCTCGTGATGCATAGACCAAAGAACAGGAACACCGGGGCAGGGAAGCAATGATTTCCCCGCAACCCCCCTATGTACAGGCGTCCCTGCCTCCACCTCCATTTCAGCATGCAGGTAAGAGCCTGCACAGAGGAGGGGGGCCAGCCAAAGAACCAGCAGAGCAATGGCCAAGGCAAACAGCGGGCTGACCCCGGAGACCTGCTCTCACCCAGAAGACGTCGTAAATGAAGAGGCCACCAAGGAGAATACATCCTGTGCTGACGTTATTCAAGTGTAGGAGCTCCACCCCGTTGAGAGAGAAGGCCAGGCCAAAGAGGTTGTTGGCAATCCAGTGCTAGACAGACGGGTGGAAGGAAGGAAAAAGCACATCTCAGCACCCTCTCAACGGCAATACCCTCCGTGCCCTCTAAGCCCCGAAAGGCAGGCCCGTGAGCCGACTTTCCGGGCCTGGCAGCCCGTCCCTCGGCCAGGTGGCCCCAGCGTGGCCAGGGGCACCTCCTGCCTTACCTTCCTCAGCAGATACCAGACGCCAACCACACTGCTCATGGCCAAGCACACAAGGTCCTTCGTGTCGAATTCATAGTTCACAATCTCTGCAACAAAAGCCACCCCGGGGCTGTCATCTTTAGCAGCTTCTTTAATACAAAGGAAGAGTCAGGACTGCGTTGCCCAGCAAAGGGAAAAGGAGAAGGGGCACACACAACCGAGTTGGCAAGAAGCCGCTGATGCCCAACCCAGGCCTACCCCCCACCCCCCCGAGTCTCCACAAATTTTTCACCCGTTTTTAGAGCCATACGAGTCGACAGCCAGCATGGCCTATTCAAGCAACAAATGACATTGTTTTCCCAACACAAGGTGTAAAGAAGCCAATCCCGTTCTTTCCCTCCTGCATTTTTTCAGCCCCTCCAAATCTCTCAGCTCTGGTCCTTGTCTTCCTCACCCAGTTCGCCTACTGTAGACTGCAGCCCCTTCGAACACCTGGGGAGCTACCAAGTGGAGTTCAGACATGTGTGGCTCTCTGAAAGCCTCCCCCCCACCCCACGTTTTGGCGGTTCACCGAGGCTGTTATGGGCTGCATTTTGTTTGGGGGCTCCTCTGTTGCGTAGGCATGCTGCAGTCCCAGTGGCAAGCATCCACATTGCTCCTGGGTTTGGTCACATGCTGAAGCTGTACATGGCTGGCACCAACATCTGGCATACACACACACACACACACACACACACACGACAGCAAGAGGCAACACACACACACACACACACACAGCAAGAGGCGATGAGAAGAGAAGGGAGACAGAGACACCAGGGCACCTGCCAGTGTTTCAGGACACTGAGCTCGTTAAAAGGAAGAGGGAAATGCTCAGCAGATCCTACTTCGCCGAACTGAATAAACAGCAGGGAAAATGACCAAGGAGTTTTCAGCATCCTGGCCAAAGGATCCGTCAGTGTGCTGGACACAGAACTCAGAGGATCAGGAACGCACGACGCCAGCAAAGGAGGCCCCTGGTGCACGCAGGGCGGAAGAACTTGAGAGCCCCCAAGCCTTATGGGACCTCGTGCCCAGGAGTCGCCCCTCAACCGAGCGCCACCCAGGGAGAGCAGAGCTTCCTCCAAGAGCCCTGTGATGTCTGCAGCTGGTGTGCCAAAGCCAGCATCGTGCCCAGGAGAGATGGGAAGATGCTGGGCTTAATGCCACAAGGTCTGTCCCTTTAAGGTTTCCTCCCTGGCAGGATGCCCACGCACGCACACTCTGTCTGCCAAGAGAAAGGCAAGGCTTCAGCCGAGGTAACAACCCTCCGGAAGACGGCACTCACAACCAGCCTGCCCAGGCACAATGCTTCCTGTTGGGCTGGAAAACTGTATTCAGTTGGAGAAGACGAGCAATCAGGGCTCGGGGAAAGGGGAGCGCGGACCCATAGAGAAAATCCACCCAGCACAAGACCCAAGGGCATGCTAAGCTGACTTACCTTCCTTAGATTCCCCAGAGCCTTGAGTAAAGAGGAGCTGGTACTGTTTGTTGGGGAAATTGGCCGGGAAGAGCTTGTTCATCATGGGGCTGAAACGCAAAGGGAGGGGAGAGAGAGCTTGTTCATCATGGGGCTGAAACGCAGAGAGGAGAGGAAATCAGAAGGAAACCAGTCCACTCCGTAAGCAAATGCAAGTAAGAATCACAGAAAGAGAAGGGGAAGGCGCTGCGTCAGGGAGAGGTAAGCTCTGCGGCTCACCCCAAGTTTAACTCAAACAGGGGTGCTAAAAGCATTTGCAACAGGGCTGGGATGGAATGCACACACATCCAGCAGAAATCCAGGCACACGGATATGTCCCCTTTGGCAGGGACAAAAACCAGGCGTGGGAGGAGGGACGTTGTGTAGAAGTCAGCTTTATGTGCCTTTTCACATACCAAGCTTGGGAACAGAATAAAGCCACATTTAATATTAAACCTACAACTAGTGTAGACTTATTTTCCATGGAGTGTGCACAAAGCCAACTGATCAGTTACGCCGTGCCTCCTTTATGCAAGAAATGGTAAAGCCTATGAGGAGGGGAACTGGCAGCCAGAACCCACTCATCTGTGGCCTTCCGTATTTTTTTTGTTTGTTTGTTTTTTTAGCTTGTTGTTATTTAGTCATTAAGTCATGTCCGACTCTTCGTGACCCCATGGATCAGAGCACGCCAGGCCCTCTCGTCTTCCATTGCCTCCTGGAGTTGGGTCAAATTCATGTTGGTGGCTTTGATGACACTGTCCAACCATCTCGTCCTCTGTCGTCCCCTTCTCCTCTTGCCTTCACACTTTCCCAACATCAGCGTCTTTTCCAGGGAGTCTTCTCTTCTCATGAGATGGCCAAAGTATTGGAGCCTCAGCTTCAGGATCTGTCCTTCCAGGGAGCACTCAGGGTTGATTTCCTTCAGAATGGATAGGTTTGTTCTCCTTGCAGTCCAGGGGATTCTCAAGAGTCTCTCCTCTAGCACCACAATTCAAAAGCATCCATTCTTTGGTGGTCAGCCTTCTTTATGGTCCAGCTGTCACTTCCATACATCGCTACTGGAAAAACCATAGCTTTGACTATGCAGACTTTTGTTGGCAAGGTGGTGTCTCTGCTTTTTAAGATGCTGTCCAGGTTTGTCATCGCTTTCCTCCCAAGAAGCAGGCGTCTTTTAATTTTGTGGCTGCTGTCACCACCTGCAGAGATCATGGAGCCCAAGAAAGTAAAATCTGTCACTGCCTCCCAAAGCTAATTTTCTGTACAAGGGCATGTTAAGAAACTGGCACCTGCCAATACAGAGGGGAAAGAGGGAACGGCTCTAAGGGGAGGAATCAGCTCAGAGAAGGGCTGCGAACTGGATGGATCCCGATCACATGACAGGAAGCCACCTCCTCGTCCTGGTTTTGCAAAACTTTCAGCAACAATGGTCCTTCACTCTGAATGGTTCTCTTGCAGCTCAGTTGTCAAGAGTATGTGTTTTTTAAAAGACACAATCACGGCGCATAGCGATCAAACAATTAAAACTTTCATTGCTCCTTTACCTGATGGTGTGAGAAAGGGCAAGGATCCCCAGGACAAAGAAATACATGGAGAGCAGCAGGTTGATGTATTCTTGAGAGAAGATCTAGAAGACAAGACAAATCAGTTCTCACTAAACATCCTGTTTCCTAACTGTGCAATAACACACCAAGAAAAAACATGGAAGTGCAATTAGCATTTTTTAAAAACTCTCATGCTCATCAGTGAAGTCATCTATTTTAAGAAAAGCATTTTCCAGTTCTGAGAGAAAAAACAGAATAAGGAAGAAACGAAAGCTTCGGTTAAATGAGACCATTTGCCAGAATGCTTTATCATCTACCCGGCAGAATCTGTTTTACTACAGGAAGCCAGATTTAGGCTGAATATCTAACTTAAATGTTAGAGCAGTATGACAACAGAATCCCATGATCTTGGGATGTGTCGAGTGCTCCAGCGCTGGAGGCGTTTAAGAGAAAATTGTACAACCCTCTGTCCGATCTGTTTTGATTTGGATCCCTGCACTGAGCAGGAGGTCAGACTCAATGGCCTTATAGGCCTCTTCCAACTCAATTATTCTATGTATATCAAATGCAAAAAAAAGGAACAATGTGAAAAAAGAAAGGACCAGCAAAATGAGGGCTTAAATAGTTGCATCAGCAGGGCAGGGTAGCCTCTGTTTGAGTCTCAATGCCAGCCCCGGATTCAAAACCAGGGTCACTTTTTCTGCCGCTCTCCAAATAACAGTTTTGGGAGCAAGAAAAGGTATAGTTTGTGGCTGAAGCAGGATGGGCGTTACTGAATTTTTCAGGAAACGTGTATTCTATTCGGGGGGGGAATGAATCGAACAGAAACCCCCCCACCTCACCTCTCCAGCGCGAGGCTGCTAAGAGTGGCCATAGAACAGCATCGGGTTAACAGCAGAGACTTATCGTGTGCTTACAAACTTCAATTATGCAGACAAATCACAAAATAAAAAAGCAGCTTTGAAATTTGGGAAAACCAAAGGAAGGAGAAATCGGACATCCTTACGGGATTCAGCCATGGTGGTGCACCTGCAACTTTAGGCACCCCTTCTTTCGGAGGACCTTCCCGTGAAATCAGGGTGACCTGTTTCTAAACAAATATACACAGGACTGAGCCTTCATGTTCGTTCTGTTCGTTCGAGCCTGCACAGGGTGTCTTTACATCCATGGTGGGGAGTCGGAGCTCCTTAAGTCCCCCACCCAGAGGAGCGGGCCCTGATGCCTACGTAGAAGCAAGACCCCTTCTGGAAACAGTAGAAAAGCAACTTGCAGCCTGCTCCACATGACAGGCCCCCATTTGCCAGGCACAGCAAGAGGGGCGGATTAGTCACCACGGAGACAGGGAACATCCCTTCCATCCATGGAGTGATTTCCTCTTGCCTTAAAGCAGCTGTTCCAAGATTCCGAGCCCACCGTTCTTGGAACTTGCCCCTGAATAGGGGAACAGGACACGGAGGAACTCAGCAGGGGATCAACAACCGAAGAGCCAGGCTGCTGCATCGCCATCGGCTCCCCTACTTTACACCCATCGAGTCTGTGTCAGGAAATTTCAAAACGTGTCTCAGACGGCCGATCGAGATCATTGAGAAGGGGGCTCGTCTTGGCAAAAAAAAAAGCAACACATTTCTTAAGAAACAGTCAACGGTTTCAGACTCAAGCTTTTTCAGACTGACAATTGGCCAAGACTCTGCCACTTCTGTGTGCAGAGCCTGGAAAAGTTATCTTTGGGGATTATAACTCTAAGAACCCCTACCATTAGGGGGGCACAGACAGGCTGACTGGGCATACTGGGAGCGGTTTTCCAAAACCTGCATGCAACCATCCCAACCAATCCGCAACTCATGTTCCTCTCTCCCAATCTTTTCATAGCATTTTTCACCTGGATTTTTCTCACTGTTCCCTCTGGTTCCTGTCCCAGTTTCCAAATATTATATGGCATGCTGGCAAGGAAACCAAAGGACTGTGGGTGACTATAATAAATGCTTCCTAATATAAGAATTACAACCAACAGTTCTTGGTCTACTTGATCCCCTTCGCAGTTGGATCTTTGAAGGCAGAAGCTTTGACTCTCCCAAGCTCACTGAAGAAGCTGCTTGGAGGAGAAGCGAAACCTCCAACAGTTCTTGGTCTACTTGATCCCCTTTGCAGTTGGGTCTTTGAAGGCAGAAGCTTTTGACTCTCCCAAGCTCACTGAAGCAGCTGCTTGGAGGAGAAGCGAAACCTCTCAACCTAACAAGAAAGAAGCCCAGTGGCCAAGTGTCGACTTCCAGATAACTTCGCCTGGAGGACTGAGAATCTTCACAGATATCCTCCCAAGCTCAGGTACAGCTTGTCAAAACATTGAGGGCACAAATGCCATTTGGTGAATAAACATCACCCAGGAAACACCATTTGCCAGTTAGGACCATTTTGCTAGTACAGACTGCAACTGCCAGCTGCCCCCAGTTGGCAAATCAGAAGCATGAAAACCTTTTAGTTAAACAGCAACTGATTTAATATATAATAAAATGATCTTATATTTGAGTACCTTTCCAGGTTCTTAATAGCTCAGGTAAGAGGTTGTGCAAACCTGTCCTAAATAGCCATTGTTTCAGAGTGGGGGGAAAAACTTTTCCAGGATTTTGTTCCGTTCACTGCTGCTATTGCCGGGATCTCAGGCCGTAGATGCCAGCTCTCGTACTGCCAGAGACTGTGAAAGGGGAGAAGCTTTGCACCAATGAGAACCATAGCTAAAAACACTACCTCTGGATGGAAGACAACTGTTTTTGGCACAACTGTATGAACTTGCTTCCCGTACCTGGAGACCTCTAAGGGGCCCAGCACATAAACCCCAACATGACCTGTCCAGGATGCAATCAGCGGAGTGGAAACTAGGCCTAGACTGTTTGGGGGGGAAGGGGAAGGCCAGCTTTATCCTCTCTGTTATGCGGCCCCTAGCTTAACCTGAAAACAGTCCTGGGTGCAACTGTGTCTGGCTGGAGCACAGGGCAAAAAGGGGGGGAAAAGAGAGATTGCTACCCTTACCATTTTAAAAAGCTCTCCTGCTGTCTCATGTGATAGTTTGACACTGCTGCTTTATTGCTTCAGTATTATTCTGTTTTCAATACTGTGTTTCATTGATCATGCAACCTGCTTCTCCCTTCTATTTCTGAGTAGCAAAGTGGGCTAAAAATAACAAACTGAACTGAAACCAGCCAAAAATATGTAAATATGTTACGCTGATTGCGATTAGGCATCCTTTATGTGATAGGAATGGAACAAGACACTTGCTTAAACACACACAAAAAGGGAAAGAGTGAGTAATGCCATCAGATAAGAGTTCAGCAACCCCCCTGTAACTTACTATCGCAAAGTCTAGGGGACCCCTAGTTCCTAGAAGGCATCACGTCTGACTGGTCAGTTATTGCAAACGGACCATCAGGAACATTTTTGCACCCTTTCCTATCCAAAAAAAGGCAGCACTCTTTCGTATGTAAGGATAAATGTTGTCAGTTCAATTCAATTATGCAACAGGGTAAAACAGAATCCTCAGTAATTTCACTTACTTTGAAGAAGAGATAAAGGCCGAAGAGTGTGCAGCTAGCAACGATAGGGAAACGGGCAGCATCTCGGCTGGTAATGGTCTCCGGCATATCTGAAGCATTCTAGAGGAGAAGTGTGGCCAGAGGTTAGTCCCTTTGCTTCAGTTAGGTAACATCCAAAATATATCTGACCCAGGATAAATGGAGAGACACCCCCCAGTCCCCTGCACAGCGCCTGAAGGTCTATCCTTTATTCCCCCCCACTGGAAATAAAAGCATCATGGCATGGGGCAGATGGCTCACCCACCTGTCCACACCAGCTTTTATTGTTCCCAAGAAGGCTGGCTGTTTGAACACATAACTGTGTTTGCACTGCTAGGTCCCTGCTACTGTTTCATTTCAAAGTTATTCTTTCTACAGAACAAATTGTCTTCTGTATCAAAATGCAGAGGTGATGGAATGACAGCCCGAATGGTCATTTATGTGCTTTCATTACACTGTATTTGTTAATTGTAAGGGGACCTGGCTGGCCCCATCTTTGCTGTCCTTCTGCAAGCGGGCAAAGACCTTTCTCTTCAGACAGGCTTTGACCGGCTATCTAGGAAACAATAAATGGGATGATCTATATTTTGTTGCTTCAGAATATGTTTTTGTAAATGGTTTAACTAACATTTTTAACATGATTTTATCTATTCTTGAAAATCTGAATGTAGCTTTTAATACAGTGGTACCTCGCTTAGCGATTGCTCCGTTGAGCGACGAAATCACTTAGCGATGGGTTTTGGCCATCACAAGAGCGATCGCTTAGGGATCGTCCCTATGGGGGGAAATCGCTTTGCAATGATCGCGGGGAAGCGATCATGGCAAAGCGACCCTTTTTAAACAGCTGATCGGCGGTTTCAAAATGGCCGCCGGAAAAACAAAATGGCCACCCTCTGTGTGTCCTCGCTTTAGAGGCACCGAAAACGGCCACCCCTATGGAGGATCTTCGCATAAGGTTAGTTTTGAAGCCCATAGGAACACATTAAATGCGTTTTAATGCGTTTCTATAGGCTTTTAAAAATCGCTTAGCAACGTTTTTCCTGGAACGGATTAACGTCACTAAGCGAGGCACCACTGTATTGTGTGGGTCCTTTTTAAGGAGAAAGGTGGGGCAAAAATATTTTTTAATAAAGAAATAAATATTGTGATGCATCTGAAACAAAGAAAGAAATAAGTGTTTCTGCTGTAGGATTTGAGAGCAAACCAATGCCTTCACTTATTTTATTTAATTAATCAGGCTTTTACCCCACCCATCTAGATTCAAATGAATCTACTCTGGGCGGCTTACAGTCCAAGAAATATAAAGCAAGAATTAAAACGGACAATAAAAAGAGAAATAAGCAAAGTCCAAGATGGGGAAAACACAGGGAACTAAGTGATGGAAGCGGGGGGAAGGCCTGCCTGAAGAATCAAGTCTTCAGCTTGTTCTTAAAAAGTAGTAAGGGAGCCAAGCGAATCTCAGGGGGCAAGATGTTCCGGAGGCGAGGGGCCACCGCCGACAAGGCCCGGTTTCTAGCCCAGCCCGGCTAGATCGAGGGATATGAGTAGAGCTAGGTGGGAGCAGACGCTCTCCTCATTGAGCTTACTGCTCATTGCTTATACCAGTCTTGATGGCGGCCAGCAAAGTGCAAAAATCCTTTAGTCGGTTCCAATAGGACCGACCCTAATTTTCTTCCAGACTGCCAATTTGAACCAATTCTTTCTAAACCAGGTTTCTCTCTGAGTGTTTGGGTCATTTTAAAGAGAAAAGCGGGGTAAAAATCTTGCAATTTCAGATATTCCCAACCAGAAATTTAGGCAGGCCAGCTAGACACTTATGCATTTATTTGCAAGCATGCTGAATTACACCATCTCTGCACTCATCATAAGTCCGGTCACTGCTGGGGTCATGTTTATTTTATACCAGCAGACAGAAAACAGCTTAGAACGTTAACACACTATAGCGAAATCACACAGAAATAGCATTTTTTGTCTTAAAACGGCTGTGCACAAACCCATGTTCTTCCATAGCAAACAGAGAGTACTTTTTCCTTATTCACAGCTTATGCAATACTCATCATTTCATGTAGGAAAAAGAATGCAATCATCTAGAAAAGGCCTGGCATCATTTGCAGAAAACTGGACCTCTATGAAAGCAACAGAGAGCATCGGCCACCGCCTTCAACTCAGGGTAGTGAGCCAGTGTCTAGAGGAGGGACTTGCTTCCCTTTTTGACCCATTTACACGTTAACACGTCAGCCAGAAGGGCGTCTTTTGTGGTTCACACCTGCAAACCCTGTGGGGGAGGGGTGGGAAAGGTTTTTTTGGGAAAAACAGGGCAAACGTATCATACTGGTAATTACTTGTTCCTTAAACTTGGAAGAAAAAGAAAAGAAAAGAAAAAGTCTATCCAGGAGTTACCCGCATTTCATGGGCAAAAAAGCACAAATACAGAACAGGGTCATGAGAAGGCTTGGATTTCACTCTGCCAAGAAAATGCCCGGTGGATGCATGATGGGCAATTAAAATCACGATATTTCCTACCTCCAGAGGCTAACTCGGGGACAAGATGCTTGGGGTCAGGGTGCTTTGGAAAAGGTCACCCATGACGGGCAGAAGCCCAAGTTTGGCGAAGGTAGAAAAAACACACACACCTTGGGTCCTTTTTGGTGGGGGGGGAAGTGGCACAGGGGTATTATAAATAAATCAACCAAAAAAACTGTATGCCCAACACCAGACGCAGAGGTTCCAGGTGCAAGGTTTTGGAGGGGGGGGGAGAAATCAGAAGGCAAAGCCTCCCACGGGGCAAAAAGGGGGGAGGGAGCCATTCCAGGCACGGCCACTCCCATAGGGATAGCCTGCCCCTGCCCAAAGAGGCTCCACAAAGCAGCTGGGAAAGCAAACCGCTCCCCCATCGCACCCAGAAATTCCTCCGCTAGGCCGGCTATCAGGAGGGTGGGGTGGGCGAGGAGGGGGGGTGCTTTGGGGGACATG